CCATAGGAAGACCACCTCTAACCACTCCTGCCGGTCCATGCGCCACCATCCCTGGCCTTCGATTATCACTGCAGCTTGCTTGCCACCCAGTTCCGCTATCCTTGTTCCTTCAACAGTAACCCGAAGGGTCATGTGAAAATATGTCAGGGTATGCGGCTCCTCTGCCTCCAATCCCTGATCACTTATTAAACAAACAGAAATAAAAAGAACAGCTGTAAGATCTTCCTTTGTCAAAAAAAAAAAAGATCTTCCTTTGTCCTCTGAGGCCCTTATGCGACCTGGTGACATTCCCGTGTTGCCTCGCTGGCCTGGCTCCCCCCACCCCATGTATGCCTGGAGCACACCAAACCTGGCCCCAGCGGGTGCCCTCGACCTCGCTGCCCTCCTTTGCTCAGCTGGCTGTTGGCCTCCCTTGTTCCCGGTCTCCGATCAGCTGTCACCGAGTCCCTGCTCCGTCACCCTGTGTGCCCAGTGCTCGCCTCACCCTGAGCCCGCCCCAGCCCTCTGCACGGCATGCGGCACCAGCACACGCGGTATTTCTTCACTTGCTGTGTCTTTAGTTTGTGTTTCCTCTTGTTATAAAGGAGGGACCACCATCTGCTCTGAGGGACAAAAATGAGCAGTTTCCTCCCTTAAAGCTTTATTTCCTATAAAGATAAAGCCTCTGATAGTCGATGGCTTGGGTGGTTTTGGCAACGGGTGGTTTTGTTAATCTCTGCACCCTGTGCCTGCATCCTTGGCTGTGAGATACCTTTGCTGAATGAATGAATTTAATGAAATTTCTTCCTTTTTTTTTTTAAAGCACTCTGACTGTATAGTGTATTGTATTGGGCTGCTAATCAAAAGATTGGCAGTTTGAATCCACCAGCTGTTCGTGAGGAGAAAGGTGAGGCAGTCTGTTCCTGTTATGACTTTGAGCCTCAGAAATCCAGTGAGAGGGTTGCCATGAGTCACAATTGACTCGACAGCAGTGCCTATAGTTTGTTCTGCTTTTTTTTTTTAAATATTTTTGGTGAAAATAGCAACAAAGGCCCGTCCGCCTGTGGGACAGATTTTACAGTTTACTGGACATGGATAAGGGACCTCTAGTAGCACAGGCTGTAGAGATTGGTGCTGCAGACCCAAAAGCTGAGCCTCCCTGGGGTTCAAATCCAGCATCGTCTCTGTGGCGAAAGACGGCCAGTGTTCTCGCAGCTGAGAGCCTGAGAAACCCAGTCTGTAGGTTCCAGCTCAGCGGTGGGAAGAGACCACCGTGGGGGTCCCTCAGGCCACCTTGAATCGCTCTTCTCACAGTCTCTGACCCGCCTATCGCACCTCTATTGACTGAGGCTCTGCCCTTCAGTCTAGACTTGGCAGGAAAAAGTGCGAGACCACGAGCTCAGTTTATTCTGAAAACACACCTGTGTAGTAAGATCTGCCGTCTCCATTTTGCAGTGATGATGGCTGAAGCAGAGAGAGAGAGAGAGAGACAGACAGACAGACAGACACATACACACATATGCGACCCGTTTGCCTGGTCCCTGAGTGGCCCTCAGTGGGGCCGAGGGGTGCCCTGGGACTGTGTGGTCAGGGGCTCCTGGCTGGGTTACCGTGCAGCCCACTGCATTTGCATTTTCAGTCCTCCCTAGTTTACCGTCCTGGCGCTGGACTTGGCCATTTCTCCAGGGAGCTGTCTGGAGGAGAATGGTGTCTTTGTTATCTCTGAAACCACATTATGATTGATGGATTTTGCTTTTGTTGCGAGTAGACACGGGAAAACACACAACCAGCTCCCCAGTTTCTACATGAAACAGTTCAGGAATGGGGGTCACGCTCTTCAAGTTATGCGACCTTTGTCACCCTCCCTCTCAGAGCTGTTCCCCCCCCCAATATAAACCTCCTGCCATTTGTGGTTCTTTTTTTTCCTTGTATGTCTTTAAGACTTTTTCTTTTTAATATTAAAAAAAATGATTGTTGCAATTTGTTTATGGCTCATCTCTCATCTTTTTGTGATGTTTCCCTCTCTTTGATTCTGTACAGATAACTCTTAACAAAAAAGCACACTTAGCAGGACAGACCTTTTTTTGAAGTAAGCTAAACAGTTATTGAGAGCTCAGGGGATATTTTCCATCTGAGATCTGAAAGATTATCTCGGGGTGATGGTTTCAAAGGTTTGTCTAGTTCCCAGGGATCCAGGTCATCTGGATTCCGTGAGACTTGGAGATTCCGCTCTGCTCTTCTCCCTTTTGATTCTTTCCTAAGTTTTGAATCAAAATATTGAGCAGTTGTAGCTGGGCACCAGTCAGTTCTTCTGGTCTCAGGACAAAAGAAAGCAGTTGTTCATGGAGACAATTAGTCAAAGATTTCCATTTCCTCTTGTTTCCATCTGTGTGTGTGTGTGTGTGTATAAATATATTTTTTTTTCTTTTTTTCCATTTCCTTCCTGCACAATCAGTGCTTGTCATCCTTCCATTCTGTCTCTGCCTCACTGTTGTCAAATACTTGAATTGGCCCAACACAGTTTAAAGTTCATTGTATTGTTGGTGCCAGAACTCGGGGTTCGGCATTGATTATGTTCATAGGGGGCATTTAAAGGTCCAGGATAATCTGATTTAAGATTTTCCCCTGAACCCATAAGGTGGAACAGAACTGTCCCACAGCAGTTCCTCGGCTGTAAGCTTTACAGAACCCGATTGTCAGGCCTTTTGTCCATGGAGCCTCATGTAGATTTGAACTCTCAACCTTTGCTTAGAAGCCGAGCGCTTAAACATTGGCATTGCAAGGGCTCATTCATGTCCATGTGAATACACGCTTGAGTGTGTCGTTCCTAGAAACGGGGACCCTCACCTACATCCGAACCACAGTGGGCGCACCAGAACCGTTCATTGCTAACGTACTGCCATCTCATCCTTAGAAGCTTCTGACTCGTTTTAGTAGTGTCCTGTATAACAGAAAACTACACAAACAAAACCCCACTCTCTTTCTTTTTGACTCATGATCTAATTCAGCATCATTTTTTGCATGATTATACTTTATTAATGGCCGGTAATAGAGACAGTTCAACTCCCCGTCTCCTCCCCACCCCCTTCATGGCTTTTTTAAAAAAATTTTTTTAAATGTTACTATTTTGTGTGTGTGTACCGTCAAATCGGGATCTGACCGGTACAGGAAGAAATTGCCCCTCCATCTCCAGCAGGGTATCTGGTGGATTCGAACCATGTACTTCTGGGATTGCAGTGCAGCTTCATGGCTTTTGACAATGACAGGCCAGCTCTTTTGTATCATATCAGTCAACTTGAATTTTTCTGATGATCTTAGTCACTAGCGTTAAATAAAGCATTTTTGGTAAGACTTTCATAGAAATGGCACCGTTCTCATCCATTGTATGTTATCAGGAAGCACAAGATGTCAATTTAGCCTGCTACTATTGATTTTAACTTTATCTCCTGCGGAACGTGATGTTCTGTGTCACCGGGTCAGAACCGGCTCATAGCTGACCCTCCAGTGGGCTTTTTCAGAGATTGTACATGGTGCGGGAGGAGATTGCCCAACTTTCTCCCTCAGTGGATTCGAACTGTGTGTCTTTGGGTTGTCAGCACAGCTTCTCCCCACTAAGCCACAGAGCTGTCAGATTTCTCTAATGTAAAGGTAATTAACCCAAACCCCACTGTGCTTTCCAGTCACGTCCAGCTCACCGTGGCTGTCCATGGGATTTCTGACCTGCCCGGAGGGGATGGCTTGCCCTTTTTTTGAGGAGTGGATGTCATTAGCACCCTAACAAGTGCACTTTGCTACTAGGGACCCTTAAAGCTCGGTAGTTGTTTGTTTTTTTTTTTTACTAACATATTAACAGATTTTGTGAGAATTAATAAACATTTTGTGAGAAAATACCTTGAATCTTTGTAACTGTCCTCCACCTCCCCAAAGTTGCCACCACTACTTTAAGCATCCATTTGTTGATTCTTGTCTAACTTGCCAAGATAGAAGGAACTCTGGTGGCATAGTGGGTTATATGTTGGCCTTCTAACAGGAAGGTCAGTGGTTCAAACCCACCAGCTGAAGAAAAAAAAAAACCAAAAAAAACCACCAGCTGCTCCTGGTATGTTTTCCAAAGCTGAAATCACAAGGAGAGGAGACTGCTTATTTCCTTGGAGCTGCTGGTGGGCTCAAACTGGGCATCTTTAGGTTAGCAGCACGACCCCAACTATGCCACCAGAGACTTAGTTTTCTGTTTTATTCCGTGTTAGTCATTGTTTATTGTGGGGTTCAAATTGCACCCAGTTTGACTGGAGGAAACCCTTCTAGCCACTTCCAGTCTTCTTTTGACATTTCTTCATTGTTAGTGGAACTTAATCCAGCACAATGGTCCCTCTGGTCGTCTTTTAGATGAGAGAGCGCTGGTGGTCTCGTGGTGAGGAGTGGCACTGAAGTCATCCTAAAGAAAGGTGAATGGTTCAAACCCACCAGCCGCTCCACAGGAGAAAGGTGGCCAGGCTCTTCCTGTGTGATTTTACAGCCTCTGAAAATAAGCTGGAGGGTCAGCTATGAGTCACTTATGACTAAACAGCAGACAACAACAACAGCATCAGCACCAGCCTCTTTTCCTGCTCCATGCCCGCAGTCAGCCGTTTTTGTCATGGATCCCAGGTTCTAGTCTAGTGCAGAGACGCAGGTGTGTTAGGTGTGCTCATTGTTGCTGGGGTGTGGTCACGTTAAACTTCTCCAGACACGCAGTGCCATGGGGTCAGTTCTGACTCTGCGGCCCTGAGGGACAGCGTTTGGGTCTCTAAGGCTGCCCTCTTTATAGAAGCAAATGGCCAGATTTTTCACCTCCCAAGTGGCTGTTGAGTTCCAGCCTCTGACCTTTTGGTTAGTATCCAAGTGCCTAATTGACCGTGCCACCAGTGAGGGGGATCGACAGGGCCAGGGCGAGTGTCGGGTTGTGTCCTGTCAGCTCCAGGAGGTCATGCTGACAAAGGCGTCCAGTTTTCACTCCCCTCTCTCTCTTTCTGTCTCCCCAGATGGTTTCACCCCAACATCACTGGCGTGGAGGCAGAAAACCTTCTGTTGACAAGAGGAGTTGATGGCAGTTTTTTGGCCCGACCCAGCAAAAGCAACCCTGGAGACTTCACACTCTCGGTGAGGTAAGTTGGAAGCAACAGAGCCCCGGGAGCGTCTGCCAGGTGGGAAATGGCGAAATCCAACGTGCTCAATGGCTGGTCGTGTGCCAAGGCTGGAGGCCTGTCTACCACGCTGCGGTGAGGCCACACCAGCGCCAGCCCCGGGTCAGGCGGGACTCGGCTTGCTGCTGGAGTTTAGGGAGTCGTAGACTGAGAGCGAGGGGCCCGGAGGGAACTTGGTAGAAGGGACGGGATGGTGGATTGCTGTTAGGTGCCATTGAGTCGACTCCAGCTCCAGGTGACCTGTGAGGGCAGTTCAAGGCCTTGCCTCTCCTGCATCGTCCACACGATCTCCAACATGCCCGAGGCTGCTGTAACAGACACTGTGTCATTCCTTCTCAAGGAGGACCTTCCTCTCTTTCTCTGACCTGCACTTCTTTACTGACCCTCAACATCACTGACGTGGAGGCCGAGAGCCTGTGGACAAGAGAACAGCTGGTGGTCTCTGCTCATTATAACATGGTGGATAGTTGGTCGTGGTGGATGGTGGGCATTTTTCTTCTACTGAGACAACACAAAGCTGGAGTCACCCCCATGTGGGTATGTTGTGTGGGGGTTTGTTTTTTTTTTAATTATGTTTTTACTGACGTTTTATGTAACAGTTTAGGGTCACATTTGACAGTTTCTACACAAGTTGTCTAGTGGCATTGGCTACACTCCACGATGCACGAGCACCCCCACCATGTCCGCCATCTGCGCTCCACACTGGCCTGCAAGTGCCCACACTGGCATGCCCGGAAGGGTGTGGGGGATGCCTAGAGGGGTGCGGGTAACGCCTGGAGGGACATGGATGACACCTGGAGGGGCGCTGTGGGCTTTTTTCTGCTTTTTCATTTTGCTACTTCCGTTTTCCATTCATCTAATTTCCCTGCCCTCTCACATCCTCACGTTAATCCTGAAGTCACTGTTGACCCTTTTGGCCCCTATTCGGTACTTACGGGTGATATGACTTGGTGAATTAATCTGGTATGAACTTGCTGAGGCCGGATTGGAAGAGGATCTCAGCAGGGCGGGTCCTCAATGTTCTCTGGTCTCCCTCGGTCCACTGTGTCCATATTCTGTTACTGTTCTTTGGGGAGTTGAGGTTCTGTTCTACATTTTTCTCCCATTCTCTTGGGATTCTTGAGCCCACCAATGCTGTGTCCAGTTTTCATCCCTCTCGAATGTGGGTCTCTGCATTTTCCTTGTCACTTTGGCTTAATTTTGAGGTAAATAGTTAAGTACCAAACTACGGGACATTTAGACGGTCGTCTCACCTTCAGTTCTCTGATGTTAATGCTGCTCATTGTCCCAATTGCAACACTAACCTTTTTTCATCTCCAAGTTACAACTTCTGCCTGTTTCTTAGTGGGAAAAAGATATTTTTAAGAGTTTTTTTTTTTTGGCATCACTTTTCTTTCTTCAAGAGGAAGTTGTGGTCCCCCTTGTTCCCGTGCCCTGTCCCAGTCGCCCCCCGCCCCCCAGTTGACAGAGGAAACCGCCCCGGGGGGTTGGCAAGCACCCTTCCTGAGCGCGCTTTCATGCTTGGTCGCCATTTCTGTGCTCTCAGACCACACCAGGTCAGTTAGTGTGGTTTTAGAAAGTTGCTCTCATTCTGCAACTTGCTTTTTTTTTTTTTAAAAAAAAACCACCCCAAAATTGGAACTTTATATTATTAATTTCAATGGCTAGTACAGTATGGAGCTCTGATGACCTAGTGGGGTAAGGAGTTTCACTACCAAGCCAAAGACAGGGGTTCGAATCCACCCGCTGCTCTGCAGGTGGAAGAGGGACGGTGTCCTCCACAGGGTTTACAGCCTCAGGAAACCTGCTGCCTGGTCAGCTCTGAGCTGATCCCACCTGACAGCAGGGAGGGTTCAGCCTGAGAGCAGTGTGTGCGTTGCCACAGTCTCTCCAGTCTCCTGCTGGTGGACACGGGTCTGATTTAGGCTTTTCACATTTTCCCCAGGAGTGAGTGTGGCAGGAAAGCAGAGCTCTGGTGGCTCAGTGGTGGACACACATTTTCCTCCCTCCCCTGCCCCCAGTTCCCTTTGCATTATGTGTCTTGTTCCACGTGGTGAATTGTCATACATGTGACATCTAATCCCCATTCCTTTCAGAGAGTCCTTCCTTTCTGCTCCAGTGCAGTGCTTACTGTCTTTCCTTTCTTTTCCTGCCCTCCCCCGTTGCCTCTGCCCTGTGTCTGTCCTAGTTTTATAACAGTGGTCTTATGCAGTATTTGTCCTTTGGTGGCTGAGATATTTCACTCATCATAACATCTCTCAGGCTCATCTATGTTTTGTAGTCCTCCTTTTTCAAATGGATAGAAAAACTATGATATATCCACACAATGGAACATTATGCAAGCTCTGAAAAAAACCCCAAACACCCTCCCCTTTAAAAGACTACACAGGATGGAAAGATTTTTTGGGTTGAAACCACCCATGGCAGTCCATGTCCATAAAGATGACAGCCTTGGAGGCCCCAAGGGGCAGTTCTTGTCTGCCCTACAAGGCCACTCGCTTTGACTTCAAGTCCACTCCTGACAATAGGTTTTCCTTTTTTGTTTCTGGCAGTGACTACTAGTGAGTTACTGGCTCTGTGAACGAGGGGAGGAGACTTTTCCTAGGAACTGACTCTCTTCTGTCCTAGTCCTTTTATGTTCACTCACTAGAATTAAAGTGTGTTATGCATGTCCTTTTATTATTACTATTATTTTAAAGACAGTGATAAGTCAGACATGTCCTTCAGGCTCTGGGGCCCCTCTGGGACTTGGGAATTCCCTCTTTGGCTTGAGTCACTTTCCTGAGAGTGTCATTAGCTTTTGGCTGCGAGGAGTGGGCGGAGTCTTTGTAAAGCTCCGGGCTTGGGGTTTCTGTTTCACATTTTTCTCTAGTTCTATGTGGCCTCATCTGCCGTCCTCAGTGGAGTAGTCAGTTCCGAATCCACAGCAATCAGAGAGAAAGGTGGCGAAGGATTGACTCTGGGTGTGGTGATCTTTAATTTATGTGCATGGTGTACACCAAGTATATCATAATTCTGTGTTTTGCATCTTCACGGAGTATTGTGTTTCTGAGGTCCTTGTTTGTTGCTCTCTGTCGATCTCGATGATGCCTGAAATATGTTTTTGTATTATGTATTGAGGTCCAGGTATTAAGTAAAGTCCTGTTTAGCCAGAGAAGACTGTGATCTGAGGGCCCTTTTCCTCCACTGCTTCAGAGAGGTTGTCACCAAGAATGAACCCAGAGCCGTCAAGTTCATTCCGTGCTGCAGGACAGAGCAGAGCTCTAGGACACGGCCGAGAAATAGGACAGGGCAGAGGAATAGGACAGGGCAGAGCTATAGGATACAGAGGAGAAATAGGACAGAGCAGAGCTATGAGACAGGGCAGAGCCGTGGGACAGAGCTGCCCCATAGGCTGTATTAATCACTTTTGGTTTTTTGCTTCCATGTTTCTATCCTCTTTTTCCCCCCCAAAATTTTATTCTATTGTAAGCTGAGTAAAACTCTACAAATTACATGATTTTTCACTCAGTCTTTCGTACACATTTTGTTTTATAATATTCACTACAATTAATTCATGATAGTATGTGATCAAGTCCTCATTGTCTAATGCTTTTCCCTTCACCCAGCTTGTTGCTGTTGTTTTGCACCATGGAGTCAGAACTGACCCATGGCTGACCCTCCAGTGGGTTTTCAGAGGAAGTTAGTCACATGGGAGGAGATTGCCCACTTTTCTCCCACAGAGCAGTTGGTGGATTTGAACTGTGTACCTTTGTATTGGCAGCACGGTTCCTCACCCCTAAGCCACCAGAGCTCTCTTCACCTAGCTCCGTCCCTGTGATCTGTTCCTTTTTACTGCCCCCTCTCCCTTCCCGTCCCTGCTGACCAAGGCTGTAATCTGGGGAAGCACACGCCCTCATCCTTGCCCTGCCAAGTGGCTGCTGGCTTTCTGATAAACAGCTGAGTGCTTGACCACTGTTCCCCTGGCTCCTTCCACTAAGAATTAGAAGTAAATATTGTCAGGAACATGGGACAGTGTTTCTATTTGTCCTTGGTTTCCATACCCCTAATCTTAGGTGTAAATATATTTCCCAGAGGCTTCATTAGAAATGCTCAGGGTAAAGCTAAAAATAAATACAGGTTGGTGGTTTCCATTTTGGGGTGCCACACACCTTGAGGCCCACAGAAGAGGGGACAGGTGCCCTTGCAATGGATTTAGCAAGTCAAGCAATTGAAACGTGTAACCACACTCCTTAGGAAAATGAAAATGTCAAGTTTGAAACATTTTGTGGTGAGAATGATGTAAACTCAGTTGGATAACACGTTAGCCAACTGTGCTCTGTCAATTAGATGTGGCTTGAAAATTATTTTTGAAGGTAAAATTACATACAGTACCTCAAGCGGGCAGTGAGATAACTTTTGATGACTGTGTTTATGTAACCCACACCCTGATCAAAATATAGCACATTTCATTTCCATCAGCCTAGAAAACTCCCTTTCCAATCTCTCTTCCTCCAGAAGTAACCACTCTTTTAGTTTCTTATCCTGCAAATTAGTTTTGTTTATATTGGAATTTCATACAAATGAAGCCATATAATATATATAT